TATTTAAAGCCCCCGCCCTCTTATGTTAGATATTCTCCGTTGGGGTATAGTATTGCATACGGTGTATTTTCAATATTCAGCAGTTGTGTAGTTATATTTTGGGAAGGGATTAATGCATGCTCCATGAAGCCCTGACCTCTTTTTGCGTCGGAGAGCTATTGGGGCAAAAGGATTCCGAAAGAGCTCTTTACTACGGTGTCTTGCAGGGTAACGGCAAGTTTTGCTGCCTGTGGCTCATGCAGACCTTGCAGCGACCCTACTTGGCTATAGAGCTTGTTCGTCACGCATTGTTTTGATAGGGCTCCAGGGATCCGTAGGGGTTAGGGCTTTAGGGCTTACAGTAAGGGCGTCGAGTTTAGGGGCTAGAGCTTTGGGCTTTAGAGTTTAGAGTTTAGGGGTTAGGGCTTAGGGTTTAGGGTTTAGGTTCCAATTCATTCAGTTCAAGATTCCGCTACACTGAAACACGGCTCGAGGCTCCAAGCCATTACCACTGCTGTCAAACCTAAGCGCCTTGCATACCTTGCCTTACTGGTGGCTGAAGAGAGGAACATCATTCCTATATGAGCTATAGTCTAAACTCCTTAAAGGGGGTTATATAGGGGATTAGATAGGGGACTACTGTAGGGGTTACTAAGGGGGATGCTAGGAGTTTAGACTATAGCTCATATAACTCCTGTATAAGACATTCCTTTCTGCCCCTACTGACCCCCAGTAAGTTCCTGGAACCCGCCGAAATCGCCGTTTTGCGAAGGCCGCCATCCGGGGTCTGCCACAAGGTGCCGGAAGACTTTGTCATAGAGCTACCATGAGCTACCATGCAGGGTTTAGGGGTTTAGGGTGTAGGGCTTAGGCTTTAGGGCGTAGGGGTAGTCTACCCTCCCCCAAGCTAACATGGAACTCGAAATTGCCCCCAATAAGAAAGGACAGTAGTGAATGTAGGATCCCTGTTCAGGTTCCATGCTAATGTGGGGGAGGCTATGTTTGGGGATCTTTTTCGGCTGGAAGATGTGTAGGCTTTTGGAGTTTAAGTCTTGGGATAGACCTGGGGGTTTCCAGAAATCAGGCATTTGGGGGTCTCTAGCATGAACATTTCTCCCATGCTAGAGCCTACATTGGCCCCTGATTTGTGGAACCCTCCGCCTACCTTAACCTACCAAAACTTACTTTTTTCTAGGTTCCCGATAAATTCTATATTAGGAATTATAATAGGACCCTACAAAAAAGTAGGTTTTGGTAGGTGTAGCCTGCACTGCGCCTTTAGCTTTTGTTTGGAAACTCGCCTTTTGCTTCGGTCTGGGTTCGGATTCGCAGGATCAGTGTGCAACGCACTTGTGGAGAGTGACTGCAGTCAGGGCTCAGTTCCACAGAAGCTGTTTGATGGCAAAGAAATTCATGAAACACAACCCTAAAAACTAAACCCTAAACCCTCCCTAAACCCTAAACAATGTAGACTTTACAGAATTGTGATACACAGGGTTGAATTGGGTGACTGAGCATGAGTCATTATGCCAAAGCGCCTTAAGGAATACGCAGCTGACATTTCAGCAGTCTCCTGGTTCAGCAAGCCCCTAAGAATCAAGAATCCCCCTGTAGTACTAAGTACCATATTTCATTCAGTGGGTTATTTGTTCTTCGCCCTTCAGCCCTTAAATCAAATCCCAAAACCCCAAACCCTAAACCCCATACCCTCAACCCCATACCCCAAGCCCTCAACCCCAAAACCCTAATCCCATAAACCTTAACCCCTGCAGGCAGCTTGGGATGCCCTCGGACATGCGATCGCTAAGCAGGTGGGTCTGAGAGGGAGCCAAGGAGGCTTATAGTCCCCCTTAGGTAGATCAGGTTGCGGCGTTTAGGGGTTCGAGTTTGGGGCTTAGGGTTTAGGCGTAGGGTGTACCGTCGAGGGTTTAGAGCTTAGGGTGTAGGGTTTAGAGTTTACCCGACGGGTTCATTTCCA